CAGGGTACCATCAGAACTGCTTGCCCCAAGAGCAGGGTACCATCAGAACTGCCTGCCCCAAGAGCAGGGTACCATCAGAACTGCTTGCCCCAAGAGCAGGGTACCATCAGAACTGCTTGCCCCAAGAGCAGGGTACCATCAGAACTGCCTGCCCTATGAACAGGTTGCCCCAAGAGTAGGGTACCATCAGAACTGCTTGCCCCAAGAGCAGAGTACCATCAGAAAGGTGTAGTGTACATTTGTTGGTATGCATTTCGAATGACCTCTGGCGATGCCCAGTTTGTCGTCTCACGTGACTGCCCAACATTAAAAAAACAAAAAAAAACAAAACAAATGAAGTCAGTTAAGAATTCAATGACTCGCAGATGGAGGGAATAGACAAATAAAAGGCAACACACACACACACAACAGCCGATTGACTCGTTACTGGGAGGGATGAGTTGCACAGTTTTATTGTCTATCCTGATGTGTTAACAAGTTGAAATAATGGACAAAGTCAATCAAAGGCATGGAGACCTACAGCCAATGTGATTATAGCCAGCAGTTCTCAAACTGAGGAGCAATCAAGAAAATTGAGAAGGAGAATTTGGGAAAAAAATAAATAGATTCTTGATTTTAGCTAACAGCACTAAACCAGCAACATTGCAATAAATTAACAGGAAATGAAATATTTATGAAGAAAGCTAATTGACGAAACACAACGATGAAGTTGCTGATAAGTTATCATTGTTATGAACTTCTAATTTTAAAAAAAATAAATAAATAGTTGTATTAAGATATTAAAAAATGTAAGGCCATTTAGATTCACAGGATGATAAACTTAAGGTTGCCACGTTGTTGTCACTTAGGGTTGCTGTAACTTAGGGTTGCCAGGTTGATGTAACTTAGGGTTGCCAGGTTGTTGTTTTTTTCCCCTCAGGAAAAAAATAGAATATTTTCCACTTATTAAACATGTTATTTTTATTTGGGACATTTACTCCATCTGAACAACCCCATAACTTTAGTCTTATGGGAAAAACTTATGACCTGGCAACCCTTAATATGATGACTGCCATTTAACAGCTCAGCAATAAATACATCATTATCTATTTCACCATTCTGCTCAAAGAATGTTTTTTTTTATAAAAATACAAAAAGACCCAAATAATGTAAATAACAATGAAAATGCATACGCTATTTCAATAAAAACAATAAAATTTTATTCTA